TAGTGTGTGTGTGTGTTGGTGTAGTCAGCCAAGCACTTTGTCTCAGTAATTTAAGGCACTGTTGGACATCAATCTAGGAAATATAATAACGTCTGTGGGTTTGAAAAATGAAATTAATAGCAATTTTGTTTGCAAATAAATATGTTAATAGTTTGGTTCTAAAATGGTGAGTTACTTACTTATAAAATAGGCTGACCGCCCCCTAGTGGACATTAATTATATTTTGTATCTACACACAATTCAAAACCTATTTATGTAAATATTTCTATTCTATTTCTATTACGGTAATTAGAAATATTTCTATAAAATAATATACCAGACTTCCAGAACTGTGCTCTGGTCGAACTTAGACATTTAAATTTATCTTGATGATTAAGACAATGGCAAGAAACTTTTTCAAATGTTTTTTATTTATTTATTTTTTTTAAACCATCTTTTGAAAATTTTATATTTTCATATCAATTTCTGTAATTTTATAAAGATTGAATGTATTAAAGTTAACTAACAACATAAAACATCACATATTTCATAAAGTCCATTGCTACTTGATGTTTGTGTTGTTATTTTCCCAACAAAAATTATGCCACCTTTTAGAGGATGGTGTTATTAAAAATAATAATAACAATAATAATCTGGCTTTTGTTAGGTAAAGAGATTATAAAAGAGTAATATAAGTTATTTAGAAGGGGCAAGTGAACATTTTGATTAGAACAATTAAAATATGAATAAACCTCTGGAATATTTTTTAATAAATTAGTACTTCAAAATTGAAGATGGTGATAACAGCAGGATGCTGTCTGTGTGAAATTAAAATTATGTACCAAAATATTAAAGAACCAAAAAAAAGTTATTACAAAGAAAGCTTAAATAAAAAATAAAACATATTTTAAAACTTTAAAACAAATGACAACATTCCAGACAAAACCCATTCATGCATTTAACCACCACTTAATATAATGGATGAGCAGATTTATTTCTGTAGCTGTGATTTCCATTGTTACTAAAATGTGCGTTTATCTCACCTCTCCCTGTTGGATTTCTCACAGAGAGGAGTGTGGCAACAGACTACCATCCGTCTGCTGAATCGGCAGAATAATAATGTAATGCAAAAGGTGCGACAGTCTATTCAGTATGAGCTGCTCAGCACAAAACTTCTGCTTTGATTAAACTGTGTTGGACTGCAAACTAAAAAAAAAAAAGCCAATATAAACAGAATCAACAAATCTAAAAAAGAAAGAAAATGCTCAGTGGTCAGAGCAAACATATAGAGAAGTAGTTTCTCGATAGAAAAGTGTTTTAAAATTAATATAAGACTTTTCTCTCCAAACACCTCCAGTATTTCCTCAAGGCTCAAACACTAGAGTCTGTGTGAATATCTGAAGTATTATTTTAGACTATCAGCTACATATTCTTCTAAAGCACCTGAGGCCAAGTTGACTAATAGAAGACTCATCAACTCGCCTCTCTATTTGCTTTAGGCGGGAGGATCTGATATGCAGCTTGAGAAGAAAGTGCAGGCCAATATAAACAGAATCAACAAATCTAAAAAAGAAAGAAAATGCTCAGTGGTCAGAGCAAACATATAGAGAAAGATTCGATAGAAAAGTGTTTTAAAATTAATATAAGACTTTTCTCTCCAAACACCTCCAGTATTTCCTCAAGGCTCAAACACTAGAGTCTGTGTGAATATCTGAAGTATTATTTTAGACTATCAGCAACATATTCTTCTAAAGCACCTGAGGCCAAGTTGACTAATAGAAGACTCATCAACTCGCCTCTCTATTTGCTTTAGGCGGGAGGATCTGATATGCAGCTTGAGAAGAAAGTGCAGTTGCTTGTAGAAACTGCCAGAGTTAATGATGGCTACTTACAGCAGGGTGTCCATTTGTGATTAGACGCTATTCATCACACAGACAAGGGGAACACATTTGGTGTGATGTTGATAAATCAAATCAGCTCCTAATGATAACGCTTGAGGGGCCTTCCTCTTCATTTATAGGTGTGCTTATCATCTAGTTAATCTCACAGAAACCACTCTCCATCCCATAAATGACATTACTTTTAATCATACATGTTGCATACAAGCATCCCGCTCAAGGCAAGTGATTTGGACTCCCACGTAAATGTTATGCTAAATTTCTTTAAAGCTGAGCATGTTTAAATTAGGTCTCGGCTCTCATATTCTCCTGTAAAATACAAAAAAAAAGGACTCGATCATTTTCATAGTTGTAAATGATACAAATATATTATTGGAGTATGTTTTACAAGAAAATACTATTTCAGTTTCTCTATTTAAAAATATCATGTTTCATTTAATGTGCTACTTGCCATTTCCTTCTAATTGTGCAAACTGTTTCTACACCACATTTTTTTAATGAGCACTACATTATAAAAAAATGATTTTACAAAGTTGTAAATAAAACTGTGATATTGGACTGTGTTTTACTAATACTAATTCAGTTTTTCTACATCAAAATGTTACCTTTAACTTTATACTTGATGTTTCCTCGTAATGAATTTTGAAATTTATTAGCAATTTCTAAGTAAAAATTGTTTTCGACACCAACTTTTTGAGTGTACTGTCTCTTTTTATAATTATATTTTCCTAATTTTTAATAGTGCTGAAATTGTATTGCCATATACCAAATTCAGTCTATAATAATGCATTAAAAAACACTTTTTGCAACAAATCTAAAAATACTGTTGTCAATATTTCTGTCATTACTATGATGCCGATCATTAAAAAAAAATTATAATAATAAAAAATCATGTTTTTTCCAAAACAGTAATGGAAACAGAAACACAAGGCTTATGCAGGTTTTAATTTTTTTCTGTTTATTGAAGTTAATTAAGTTTATTAAAGGGGTCATATGATGCGATTAAAATTTTTCCTTTCTCTTTGGAGTGTTACAAGCTCTTGGTGCATAAAGAAGATCTGTAAAGTTGCAAAGACTAAAGTCTCAAATCCAAAGAGATATTCTTTATAAAAGTTAAGAGGTAACCACGCCTACCTAAAACGGCTCGTTCTAACACGCCCCCACATATCTACCTCACTATGTGGGAAGATTTGCATAACGCCGCCCAAATGTTCACGCAAAGAAAGAAGGCGTAACTTTTATTCTCGCTGTAGTATTGTTGTTGCCACCGCCGCCATGCATGAAGGCGCTGTGTGTTTTGTTGTGAAAGTGAAACTACTTTGTTTGGTCTTCCAAAAGAGGACGCGACTAGAAA